GTGATAGTTTTGGCTGTTTTACAGATGGGGAAACTAGAGATGGGAGGGTTTTTTGGAGGCCATGTAGTGTGTCTGTGCCCTTAGGTTGGAATTTGGGTATCAGGATTTCAGTGTCATTTCTACCATGCACACACATGTATATACACTCTTTTTGTGTTTTGCAAATTGGGCAGACACCATATTTAAATAGAGAGATACTTAGGACTTTTTATTCTGTAATATCCGACCAACCCACTGTTACCTCTGATGTCGAGGGTGGAAAGATCCTGTGTGAGAGGAATGGAAAGCAGAAAAGCAAAGCAGTCCTGAGGGTCATTTTCCCATGTTCACCACTGTGCCACCCTGCTTGGTCTCTGAGAAATCTCTTTGTGAGAAAGTCTTTGTTCATATGTGCTTTTTGCAAGAGGTGGTTTTCTATTGGAAATTGTATTAGAGTGGCACTTCCATGCTTTGCAAAGGGATGAGAAGGTATTTCAAAGATTAATAGGCAGAAAAGGCATTGATGGAAAGAGAAATTCTTTACAGGACAGAGCAGTGGCTGAGTATTGCCTGCATATTGTGACCACAGCTTTAATGCCGGGGCTCACAGCACTGCTTGCTAAATTAGTGGGTGAAGTAAGTGTCCACTCTGCTCTGTAGGAGGCTGTCAGGAAAGATGCTGACAGGTTCTTTGTGTTTCATAATGACAAACTGCCTGATGCTTCAGGCTGTGATTTTTACCCTTGAGAGGAACCTGTTCTTGCTATATTTACATAAACCTGCTGATTTGCTGAGGGTTGAAAAAGAAGAGAGAGAGGGCTTTCTTTGCCTTGAGAATCTGCCTTTGTGTTTCGGCTGACTTCCTTCCCCAGCTTAGCAAATGCTCTGTTGTTTACAGATGGCACAATAGATACTTGGATGCAAAGCTTAGAGGTTGTGAGAAACAGCCAGAAACACCCCTGTTCAGTATCATTGCTCAAATTATGGATTTTGTTGTTCTCTGTTCACAAGGATTTGAGGTCACTTAATCGTGTGATCCATTCCCAGGCAGAGGGTAGGTGTCAGAGAATAAGTCTCGACCTAGACCCATGGTTTCATTTCTAGACATCCCTAGTAAAGAAAAAATTAGTTATCGTGTGTTATTTGGAATAATTGAAATTGATGGTAATAGCCTCACTCATTTTTCTGGCCCATTACAGGCATGCTGATTTCAAGATTTTAAAAAAAATAATACACACACACACACACACACACACACACACACACACACATACACACATATTTGCCCTGCAGCAACCGTTTGCTCAATCTGGTAAATATGTGTTTTCATATGGGTAATTTTGAAAATGTGCATTATGCATTTAATGGATCACATCAGCTTAGCTCATTTCTTTCAGAACTGCTTGCTTTCTAATAAAAAAGAGCTCTTATTTTTTTAAAAAAGGTGTTACAGTTCTTGTATTGGCTGTGGGGGATTTTCAGGTTTAGAGTCATTGATCCAGCTGACCAAAACCAATTTTATAACCAGCTGCAGACAATCTGTGCACTCATAAATTATGTGAAAATCTTGCCAAATCATTTTGGCTTTAAAAGATTACTGGGCATATATTCCAACTGAGAGTTTAACATTGCTCTTGACTTATATTCTTATCTTTTCCTTTCCAAATAGACCGTTTTATTTTTGTGCTAACTGTAAACATTTATATAAATTATTTTCTTAAGTAGCTGCTTGATTAATGAAACGAGGGGGAAATACGTCTTATATGAGTATTTGGCTTTAATTTAACTTTGTTCTGAATATTTTTTTTTCTGAGATGGGGGTCTCACTATGTTGCCCAGACTGGTCTTGAGCTCTTGAGCTCAAGCAATCCTCCTGCTTCAGCCTACCAACTAGCTGGGATTACCAGGTGTGTGCCACCACACTCAGCTTTGAATATCATTTAAGAGTAATAAAAAGCAAAATTTTTTTCTGTGAAACTTGAACTCTTAAAAATTCTAAATTTCTTAGAATGTGTTCTCTTTTTGTTGGGTCATCCTAATTTTTGTGGGAGGGTTATAAAGAAAAGTTTGACTCTACAATAATTTTTTATGCTTTTATTTTAAAAGCATAAATTAGATAAATCAGTGCAAAACGATATTTTTCCCCTATTCCCATAGCAAGTTAGACATGGTGTGAAAAATTTTTAGTTCATGTTAGTCCTGATCTTAGCCATTCTGTGTTTTCTGACTATTCATGTAAAATAAACTCCAAGTTTTGTCACTTAATTTTGCAGTGAGTTTATCTGCCTTTTTTATGAGTTTCAAAATACCGATAGAGATCACCTGATAGCTGTTTTGCTGATTACTAGCCTTGTGTATTGGACTGTCACATATGAATTTATAGCTTTAGATCAGTTTGAGTTGCTGTGGTAACTTTTTAAACAAACAGAGGTGGCTTTTAATCTAGTAATAAGTCATTAATAAGTAATTATGGTAATTCCGTATGTCAAGTTTGAGGATGTCTCTCATACTTGCTTATTCCTCATGGCAACATTCTTCGGGCCATGTGTGTGAGACAGCCTCCAATAAGACCGCTGCTGAGAAGTGTTTAAGCAAACAGATATCAGTGGCTGCCCTTAACATACCAGAATGTTTCTCTCCTTCTTTCTCAAACAGAGCTACATCCTGATGCATTTACAAGTAATCATTTTCCTGAATGTAACTATAAGTTACATAGGTTCTCTTTCCTTTTCTGGAAAGCTTTTTAAATATACAAGTTAATAGCTGTGTTGTGTCTCAGAGTAAGAGGGTTTGCAATAAAAACAATTCAGTGCAACCTTTATGGAAAACAGTATGGAGATTCCTCAAAGAACTAAGTAGACCTACCATTTGATCCAGCAATCCCACTACTGGGTATTTACTTACCCAAAGGAAAAAAAGTCATTTTTATCAAAATAACATTTGTATGAGAATGTTTATTACAGCACAATTCAGGTTGAGTAAGATGAGTAAATAATTGATATCTAGAAATTTGAAATACTGACAAGTGGGTACAACATTTAATTTCTTAATTAAGAAATTAATAACTTGGCCGGGCGCGGTGGCTCACGCCTTAATCCTAGCACTCTGGGAGGCCGAGGTGGGCGGATCGTTTGAGCTCAGGAGTTCGAGACCAGCCTGAGCGAGAGCGAGACCCCGTCTCTACCAAAAATAGAAAGAAACTAATTGGACAGCTAAAAATATATAGAAAAAATTAGCCGGGCATGGTGGCGCATGCCTGTAGTCCCAGCTACCCGGGAGACTGAGACAGAAGGATCACTTGAGCCCAGGAGTCTGAGGTTGCTGTGAGCTAGGCTGACGCCACGGCACTCACTCTAGCCCGGGCAACAGAGCGAGACTCTGTCTCAAAAAAAAAAAATAATAATAATAATAACTTGGAATTGTTATAAAATTGTGTAAATTGGAGCTACAGTTTTTATTTAGGGAATCAAATTTATTCTGTTTTTACTGAATACCAAGTAGGGGTACAAAAGAATTATCTACCATGGTGGAGAGAACTCTCTTGCTTGTCCCTTAAGATGGTTAGCATGTTAAATCGATATGCCTAAATGTTGAAGCAGAGTTGTTCAGCGTCTGGGACCCTGGAACAAAATAGAAAGCTCAGTCAACAGTTCGTTCCTCAGCTCCTATTTTGCATGGATTTGGGGATTAAATCTCTGTTGAGTTTGCCTCTGAGTAGAGAAATCATTTGGGGAATTCTGAAAGCCTAAATAGTTGGCATTTAGATTTCTTCTTCTTCTGGAGTGACTTTTGGGTAGAGATCCTGATGTCCTGTAGAAAGTTTTTGGAAGGATGTGCCCTTTAGTGAGGGCTTGCTTCACGATCTACCTCTTAGTGGGCCTGCTAGTGCTCTCGGTAGACTGGATTGTCCACTGGAGGGATGAATCCAAATCACTACTCCTGTGCTCTTTCTTGGCTGTTAACATGTATGACAATCGATGCAGTAGAGGAACTTGCCTATGTTGTCAAGCACCTAAGTTATCCTAAGACATACTCATTCTGAAGGCTAAACAGAAGAGATAAAATGAATGGCATTTTAAATATGACATTATGGTCACTCTCCCTAGAAGATTTGATTGACTGTGGATACCTTTATTTCTCAGTAAATAATACATAGATTTTCCTGTCCTAAACTTTATGATAATCTTGGGTTGTAATGTGGAGGAGTTTTTTCTTTCTCTTTAACCACTGCTTTCCTTAAAATCATTGCTTTTTAAAAAAAATAGTGTCTCAATGTGCTATTTTATAAAGCAACCTTTTAGACTCAGCTATTGAGAGCATCAAAAATAATTACCCAACCACTGCCCTGTCAAATATAATTTAAGAAAGCTCTCTTCTTCCCTGAAGAAAATGTAATTTGGTTTACTTCATTCCATCTGATTGGTTGCCTTGGTTTTCTTTACAATTAGAAAATAAAATATGTTTAGGTTAAAATAGTAAGTTATCTACAAGAAATTAGATTAGTTTTCTTTCTCTTCCTTGCTTTAGATGAAAAGATCATTGTAATAGAATGTTCAAGCTAGTCTTCTTTGCATATTTCATTTATTTCCCCACAAAATATTTATTAAAAATAAAGTAGCACTTGGCAAAGCCATTTCTCTTGGTGAAGACATGAGAACATCTATCTGAATAAGATATTCAAGATTTTGTGTGATCTTGAACAAGTAATTTCTTTTATCTAAATTTCATCTGAATATCGATAATCCTGTGGGATCCTTCCCTCCTTCTTCAGGGACTTTGAAGAGAAAATACTTCAGGCTGTATCAGGTCCTTTAAATTATTAGAAAAGTGATCAAAAAGAACCGAGGGTCTGTTTTCCTTTTGTTTAAAGTTATTTGTAATTTAATATCACCTTCAAAAAGAAATTTACTATAAAAAGTATGTGCCTTGTTATTTATTTATTTATGCAGTGGCTTTATGGGCCCTGTCTTTGTTCCTTAAAGGTAAATGCCATTGTTTTAAAATTTCTTTTTCTTTTAAAGACTGTGTGTATATCGAGAGTCGGAGGCCAAACACACCGTATTTCATCTGTAGCATTCAAGACTTCAAACTGGTAAGCATTTTTTAATGTGCCGTTCATTCTGCTGTGTGCCTTCCCCTTTCCAGTGTCAGCGCCTGGTGTATGCCTCTCCATCGCTATCGGCGTGCTCACCAGTTGACCTTCTCAGTGCCAACTGCCCTGTGGCCCTGGCATTGAAATAAGGCAGTTACTAGTTTCACCTTTTCAGTTTTATAGCGCTTACTGTTATAATGCTCATATTGTAAACAATGTTTCTGAAGTTTTTGTCCCTTTAGTAGCTGTTTTGACAATTTCAGAGATTCCCCTGAGTTTCTGAAGTAGTATGTTTTTTCTTAGCCATTGTTAAGAGCCTGAAGTAAAAATAAATTTAGCAATTGTTGATGAGTAGGAAAAATTATATAAATGGGCCAGAGAATAGTTTCTGGTGGAGAACTGTAGTTTCCTCTAATATTTTGGTCGGTATGGAGTGCATCCAGAACTGGTTTTTGGACCCTGCCAGGGGTAGAGGTTAAGAGAAGGAAGTCTGGCTTGGGCATGATATAGCTACTATACTTTCTTTCCAATTTTAGTATATGTACTGTTGAAGTGGGCACAAAGCTACTGTACTTTCTTATTAAAAACTTTTCCTGAGTACCTAAGTATTCATATTGCCCATTATGAAATCTCTTGATTTTAGACTAGTGGTTCCCACACTTTAGGCTTTGGATCCTTGGATGTCTGTAGAGTTGCAAAGGGCTGTAAATAAACATTCTCAGTCTTATATAAATAAATACATCTCACACATCTGTACAACCGGTTTTCAGGTGTATTAACATGCTGTTACGATTTTTAAAATTCACTTACATAAGAAGAGCACAGTTAAGAATCACTGTTTTTTATGTATTTTCCTCAAACAGTGACATGTGAAATACTAACAAAGTAGTATCATTTGGGAGTCTTTTGAACCATTTTGATCTTACAAAGGGATCCTTGTACTTGAAGATTGTGAACCACTGTCTGTATTCTTAGTACCTGGGTAGAGATGTGTATCAGTATCTTTGAATGCTCTTATTTCGAAACCTTTTTGTAACTTGACAATGTTTGCGTTCTGACGTTAATTGTATGTGATAGTTCAGTCTAAAGAATTGTAGTCTGAAAAGGTCTTTAACTCTGCATCTTCTTTGTTTCTTCTTATCATTTTTAATGACTCCAAACATCACATTAAAATATTCTGATTTAGCTGGTTTAAAAAATTGCATGTCATTTTCCTTTATTAAAAAGTCGTAGTTATTGCATGCTTACTGTTTTAAAAAGAAAGTCAAATGTAAAATTTACTTCTAAGATTTATTTATTCTTGGTAGGTTGCTTTTGCTTCCTTAGTTGCTTTGCAAGGTGGCCTTGCAGTTTTAATCTTGTAAATCAAATGCTTTCTATTCAGTTTTTATGTTGATATGAGTTTTTACCATTTTTAGAGATGTTTGCTATTTATTATATCTTTCCTTCTAAAGAATTTTTTTTTAATAGATACTGCACTGACACCTGAAATGTGGACAGTGGCCTTGTTTCCAGAAGAATTTTATTTTGGTAGTGGATGCTGCTGCTACTCTTTCCCTGCTCATTGTCTTTCTGTGTGATTATTTTACTACTTGGTTTGGTAAAAATACCAGTACACCATGGAAAATATATAGCTATGAAATAAAATTACAAAGATTTTTCCTTTTACCCATTAGATCCTGAACCCCTTTTGTACAATTTTTACACATTAGCAGGTGCCTTAATGTTTGAACAGTGTCTCTTATGAAATGCTGATTACAATGTGATAGTTGCTGTTTTGGGCAGAGGTTCCTGCTGAGTTACAGTAATTGCTCAGGGTATTAACAGCAATAAAAGCTGAAGCTTCTGTTGTCAGTATTGGTCTAGTATAGCACATTAAAGCTGTCTGCAAAAACAATGTGGGAAGTAGGGTGCAATATGTTTAGATATGTTTTTCTAAATCACACACTGCTATTTCTCATGTTTTTGTTTGAGGTTCTGTATTCAGCACATCCTCATAGTTGTATGAGAACAACAGAGATAATGAAATATTTGCTCCTGGAAGAAATGTAGTTATTCCCACCTTCTTCTTTTCCTGGTCTCTATACTTATTAGAAGATAACCAAATGGATGAAAATAATCAAAATGTTTTTTCCCTCCAGTTTACATAAGCTGTGAGGGGAAAAGATGAACAGAAGGCAGTATGCTTTGGTTCTCTGTAAGATTTTAAAAAGAAGAAATTGAATTTGGTTTTGCCCACAACAGATAACATGGCAAGTGGAGCAATGAAAAAAGAAAACAAAAACCCAATAGTTTTGAAATGTTGAGTAATTATGTATTTTATCTTTTTAGTTATCATAAAATAAAAAATTTGTTTGGGTTATAACTGAGAGATGTGTTTATAACATAAATGAGAATTAAGCACTTTACCATGGTGGATTTTTGAGTATAAGATATATTTGGGGGCTAAAAATAACTGAACGGATGCCCTTTATGGTACCTATTAGGTGTGATTACCGTGTTAAAGGCAACAAAAGTTAATGAGTTGAGAACTGGGCATGAGGAGACATTTACCAACAGTCACCAAGACTAGCATAATGCCAATTCATTGAACCGAGGGTCCCTGGGTAAAATTTTGCGAACTATTATAGTTCTATATGAGAGAAGAGGCATCTTTGTATTTTATGTGGGCACCTGTGTTGTCTTCTAGGGTCTGCTACTACATTCCTCTAGAATCTGGGTCCGTGGTGTAGAACATAGCTGCTTCTATGTCCTGGTCTGTGTCTGCTATCCTACCAAACTATTAAACAGTCTCCCCTTTCACTCTCAAAAATGTCCAGGTTTAGATGGTACGTCATCTTGCTTATGGCATAGGATCCATGGCCTCTGTTTTATTAATACATAACAATCAAAACACATATGGACGCCATCATCCTACACTGGTAGATAAATTTAGAACTCACACTTTCACAGAGGTAGATGGAGGTTATGATAGTACAAAGTAATTAAGTTCCTAATTGAGCTGAGGTTTTTAAAGGTAGCATTTTCAAGGGTAGTGAATTATGTGTTCTAGTAGGAAGCTTTCATGCTCTTAGGAAGTATTCATTTGATTTAGCTTATTTACATCGTGGGAGATCTAGTTTTGTTTGAATACATTGACCAAAGTATCTATGGAAAAAGTAGTCAAAAGCAAGGACTCATAAGAAAGGTAATGTGGAGTTATAGACAGCATATGCTTAGAAGGAGGAGAAAGAAGGATCATCAGTTAAATAAGGTAGCTTTACACCGTAGGTTTCTGAACTAAATAGTAAAATAGCTGGCAAAATCTTTATTTGGCTCTTTGAAAAAATAGTAATATGGAATGGCAGTCTGTGATCCTTATGGCTTGGCATGAAAAGATCAATTGAGCCAAATTTCTTTTTTCTTTTTTAGAATTTAGAGTTGGGAAACTGAGAGACTGAAGGCAGTTAGCAGAGAGGCAAAGCTGGAAGGATAAATCAAGAATTGCCTTAAAGTAGAGAACGAGGTTGGGGCAGGCATAGGCAAGCTGACGTGCAGGATAGGAAACCAGGAAAGGCAGAGAGGACTGGTGCAGCTGTGGGGAGAGCAGCAGACCCAAAGGAAGTGAGAGTGCCCTAGCTGTGTGTCCTCTACCCTTCTGAGGCCTGCGCTGATGCTCCTCCCACTGTTTTTCCCTCTGAGTTAAAGGCCTCTTTACTTGGGCTAGCTTGAGTGGATCTCAGTAACTGCACCTGAAAGGGCCTAGTATAACACATTCAATCCTTTCTTCTGCTGCCCTCCTATGGCCTTTATAGGTCACCGTGTGACTTAGTTTGCTTTGAGGGTTTTGTTCCTGAATGAGTCAGTATCACAAAGGAACATTGTATCAGAGTGCAATTAGGAATATTTTGGGCTATAAACAATGCCTCCCATAGGCATTTATTGAAAGCCTACTTTGTGTTCTTTGGTGAACTCAGCACCATGAAGAGGACTGAAGAAGTGTAAAATATTGTTCCTTCCCTCAGTGATCTTAGATTCTAATTGCAGAGACAACTTGTGGCATTAGGTGTCAGTCTTCTGTGGAGAACATTCTGAATAGGATTGATGAGGAGAAAGCCATTCACTTTTTGTTCTAAAAGAAAGATTTCTTTCTTTTACTAAAAACAACAACATCTCATTTTTTTATAGAAACCCAGGCATTAGGAAGCATAGTAGAGATAATTTGCTATCTAAAAATAATCATGGATTCTGAGAATGCTAACAAGATCACTGAGATTAGTAATTTTCATGCAGCATAACACCAAGGAGTTCCTTGTAGTAGTTCCTACCTAATTTTTTTATTTACAGATCAGTAATTGAAGCCATTCCTTTAATATTCTACATGGAAATTCTGTGTGGATTCCTGAGCTGCTGTCATTCATATGATAGAAGAAAACTTGCTTTTGGTTTCCTAGATTTATAATTGTAGATGTTTCAGCTCTTACTTATACCCAGTGAGTTTCCAGGTAGTATATGTAGCTATTACAAGTACTATTTTGTATTAATATCGTTGATTCAATTTGATTCCTTAATTGTTTTTTTAAAGCTGGGAAAATTGTCCTTAAAATTAAACTAGTATAGAGATTCCTTGGAGTTGGGGATATGTCGTTAGGGTTGTTATGTTGCTTCCAGTTGACTATTAGTTGAGCTTCACATATTGTTACCGCTTTGCATGGATGAGAATGCTATTCTATCATTTATGCCCCTGACAGCATACATTCTGAGTGCTGGTCGTGAATGTGGAATAGCTAAGGCTGCACCACTAGTTACCCTGGAGAAGGCGCATCTCCGTTACTGCTGTGAATGTGGAGGCCAAATTATTCATGATTTAATACCATATCCCTCTCATTGTTTCATTGCCAAGTGTGAGCAGCTGGAAGAAAAACATTTGGAATTTCTCTCTGATCTCTGGTCTGTACTCATAACCCTACTTCAAAAGCTGATTGCTACCCATCAACCTTTATTTATGCCTTCCCTGACAGCACAGCAGAAGAGAAGGCTGCAGAGAAATTAACTTCTGCTTAGGCTCTACTTACCATTGAAGTTTTCCCCCCTCCACCAAATTTGGTTCCTTAGAAGTGGATTAAAAGCAACAAGAAGCTATTTTTCTTTCTTTATAATGGAAACTTACTGAAGATGAGTAATTATATCTTCTTGTTTTTTTGTCAGAAACATAGGTAATGCTGGGAGATACAATCATGAAGAGACTTCATTAACGTGCACTCTTGTGCATGTATCCATGTGTACACACAGTGACTTAATTATCAAATTCATGCTTCTACACCACAATTTTTTAATCCCAGCTTGGCTATTGTGACCACTTAGCACAGAATGTGTGGTGTGTGGACGTTCAGGAAATGGGCATTCATTTACTAGCAGGTAAATCTTGTCCTAGAGCCCTTTTTTTTTGTGGGAGGTGGGCAGGAAATCCACGTAATTTGAACATGGCTATTTAGAATATGGGATATGTTATTCTGGGATTTAGATGAGGGGTGGTAGATTGCACAAGTTGAGAGCTTGTACTTTTTTCAGGTTGTCTGGGTTCACATCATCAGTCATCAGTTGCTGTCTTTCATGATGTTGGGCAAGACACTTAACCCTCGTAACTTCTCTTTGTTTACCTGTGAAGTTGGCATAGAAAGCACCTAGATTAAAAGGTCAAGCTATAAAGTGTCTACTGCCCTATAGAGTGACAATGATCGTGATGTTATTTAGTTGGCACACTAGGTTTACACTTTGTGAGGACAGACGAGATGTCTATTTTGTTCGCTGCTGTATACTGTATGCTAAGCTCATTGCCTGGCTGTAATGTCCACAGTAAATGTACATTAAATATTGAGTGAAATAACATTTCAGTGGAGAAAATTCACTGGATTGGTTTTTTAAACACCTTAATAGTAGTTTGAAATGCTGTATACATTAACTACAAACTAACTTGTCTGTTAAACATGCCAGAGAAGTCTGCTCACTTATGTTTGGTTAGACTGCAGTATGTATTGAAATAAGGAATTTAAATGAATGTAGCCAAAATCATAACGTTTCTTAGGCATCGTTGTATTCTGTTTTGAATTTTCTATATGACTGACTTTTAGTAAAGATAAATGAGGGCTTAGTGTATATATGAACATCCCAGAAAAGGGCAACTGTTACGAAAAATGCCTTATGGTATGATTTGTTCCTACGTGAAACAGTGATTGCTTTTCTGTTTTTGTTTTTAGCAGTCCCTCAAGTTAGGCCTGCAGAATTGAGTACTTCTTTCTATAGTTCCTTCTTCTCTTTACCCTCTTGGTTTATGCCCTATAAAAAGGTCAGTATCACCTTTGTGACTTGCGTGGAGTGTTGGATAATGAAGTAAAAACCTTAAAGTTTGCTTATGAAGTGGTTTCAGTATATAGCTATCATATACAAGGACTAAATGACCTTTTCACATATAAATTTGAAATTTATAATTTCATTTAATCCTTTAAGAGGCAAGAGGTAGGATGAAATTCCTTAGCCCTGAGGTTGATAGACACAGAGGAGGTGGTTGTTGGCTATCTATACGCAACTCCCCTACCCCAAATTATAGAGCAATGGTGTTGAAGGTTTTTTTGAGCCACCACATCCTTTGTGCATGCTGTGGTGTCAACTTATAAATAGACAGAGTAGTATTCACGTAAGTAGAAGTCAGAGTGAAACCTTGGGAATAAATAATCTCCGAACATCTTATTGGGCGCATTTATTTGGCTTCTTAGCAACCTGTTTTTACTCGTGGCTGACAGTCAGGGTAGACCACTTGGGATTTTAAGTTTTAATTGTTCATGTTTGCTGTGAGGTTGGATAATTCGTTTTCTTCTAATTTAATTGAGCTTTAGGACTCCATTTAAGTAACCATTGAAAAAGTTTTGTTTAATTATATGCATTTCTATAAAATACTTATCTAAAAATGTCATTTACTAGACTTATTATCTATACGTGAAATTTTTTCAGTGCAGAAAACTCTAGGTATTCTAATTTTTTTTTAAGGAGCTTAAAGTTTGAGGCAATCTGATATTCGTGGAGATCTGCTGTGCAAGAATATTGGTAAAGTCTTGTTCAAACTTGATTCTTTAGAACTGGAAAATTGTAATTCATATGTATATGTAGATATTTGTATTAAGAATCAATAGTCCAAGAAAAAGCTATTAGAAGTACTGAAAAAAATTAGGGAAACTGAGATAATATTGACTCTGATTTTGTATGTAAGAACAATGATATGTTTTGAAAAAATGCTTAAATTGTTTTAATAATTATTTGAACTATTTACATATTTAAAATAATGCCAAGTGCTTAGAAATGCTTTCCTAGGTTTTTTTTTTTTTTAAATTTAAAACTTGTTAATTTGAATGAATAAGTACTTGAGTGGTCTGGTTAATTGAATTCCCAGTGGAAAGAGATTAACCAGAAATCCATTTTTATTTTGATGCTTATGGCAAAAATACTGAACATACTGTGCATTCAAGTGCACAATTGAATCTTTGATTCGGAATTTGCAGTGCTGGTGGGGCAAGGAGAAAGGTGTGTGGTGAGAAGGTTATGGCTACTAACACTTGGTATCTGTATTGTCACTGAGTCCTTGGGTATCAGAGACTGACTGCACAGAAAGTGGACTGGATAGAGCCCAGGATGTACTCCGGATGGTAATCTTTTGAGAAAGAAAAGAAAAAAAAATGATCATGAGAAAACATCTCTATTATTAGCTTATTTTCCTATTTTCCTGGTATTTGTCTTTTAAAAGAGATTTTCAAAAAAATAAGAAGGAAGTATATTAAAATCTTGGTTTACTGAAAGTTGTTAGAGAGTGATTCTTTGCTTCTCAAAGGGAATTATATGTAACAGGACACTCTAATAATGATTTAATATTAAAAAGTTTATCTGTAATTTTAAAACAACTTTAAGAACAGAAGTTCTTATATAAGTATTTCTATTTTATGGATTTGTTTTTAGTTCATTTAAAATCACATAAAATTGGATTGGTTACTTTTTAAAAAATGTTATGTGCTCTCTAAAATATTTGAAAGGGAACATAATCAAACTATTATTTGAGGCATCTTTTTTGGTACTTGTAAGGACTGTGCTGGCTTTCAGAAGTTGCTCTCCAATCTTTTTTTTGTTGGTTTTAAATGTTTTCAAAGTTAATTTTAAAAAAAGCCATATATACTAAACTGATTTTGCCTATAAAAAGAAATAATGTCTCTCTTGAACTTTATGCTTTGTGCTTGTTCATTATACTTACCTAGTGGGCATTTTGAAAAAATTATAACTTATTTGAATGCTGTCTTTTTTTCCTCTGTTTTTAGGCCTTTGTCTGTTTTCCTTCCCTTCACCTTTACAAAATTAAACTTGAACTTTGAGAAAATGGCAGGGTCTTTCTCTGGCCACCCTAATGCCTTAACTATTTCCTTATTAAGTACGTGTCTTATGTCTCTAGCATCTCTCATTAGAAACTCTTCTGAAAGCTCAGTTTGTCCACTTGTGGTTCATTTTACTGTTGTGTTTATATGACACCATTGAGTTTTTTGTTGTTATTATAAGCAAAGCATGCCAGTGTTAACTGTGCTTTGGCACTGTGTCACATCTTAACTTGGTTATTTTGAGGGGCACACACCATACTGCTTTATGACAGGACTCAGATGAAAGTGTGGAGCCAGAAGGGTTATGTTTTTGCTCAAACTGAAATAAGGAAACAGCTTTGATTAATGCAGAAAGGTTAACTTTAGTGGTAGAACAAATTTTCTGAGTTCAGAGGCCATCTGCTAAAGGATTTTTGCAGATACCTGCTTGTGTGCTGAGTGCCCCTAATAACCAGGGTATGAGGAGGCATTGGGCACGTTAACTTAAAACTGTTTTCTTTTTTAGGTCCACAACTCCCAGGCCTGTTGCAGATCTCCAACTCCTGCTTTGTGTGACCCCCCAGCATGCTCTCTGCCGGTGGCATCACAGCCACCACAACATCTTTCTGAAGCCGGGAGAGGGCCTGTAGGGGTAAGGAGAATCCCGTTTTTAAAAGCTATCAGTATTTTATATCCCATAGGGTATAAAATAGGAATATTACCTCCCTCCCCAGAGCCCCTTTAAAAATGTGCTGTATTGTATGTGTTTTTAAAGGAGTAACAAGTACATGCACAGAGGAAGCCAAATACGGGACTTGCCTTACCCCTCTAGGACAGTTCCAGAAGTTAGCGGGGTTTGGTGGAAGGGTATTTTGGCACCAGCAGAGAGCATGCTGGGCTGCTGCAAGGAGCAGGAGCTGGCAATCAGCAGCGAGTATGGATGTTGGCAACTGAAATGGGGATTAAAGGGGGTAAGTTTGAGTCCAGTTGTGGAATGTGCATTTCCCCAGGCTCATTGGGACTCATGGCCCACCAATCTAAACTATTTTGGTTGCTGTCCTCTCAGGTGATGTTTTGTAGAATATTGCTCAGAAATAGTGAGGCTTTTCTGCAACACTAGATATAGAATAAGCACTTCAAAAGGCTTGGGATGGGGTGTAGCTATACTTCCCACAGCTCTACCCTGGTGATTCCTCTGTTACCTGGTGGTGATGTGGGACATCTGAGAGGCAGCACGATGAAGTGACCCCTTAGAACACAGGAGCCCCGCGCTGATGATCTAAAAGAGTTATTTCTGTGTAGCATATCTCCCCCTTTATGAAAGTACGTGTCTGTCTTCCTTCCTTTAGGAGGATTTAATGGTAACATTTTTCTGAAAGACAGATATTTATTGTTCTGGATGACTACTGGGTACCCAAGACTTCTGTTAGTCACTAAGGAAGTATAATTTTAGTACTAAAATCAGTGTAAAGAAGTGACTGTGGGTCACAATTCATACTGAATTAGAAAATAATACAAGAGAATAACTATCTCTCACACACACACATACACAATAAAGATGTCAATGTATGATGAATTGTTCAGTTGCAGTGTAAAATATTAATATCTTGGGACTAAGAAAAGAGAGTGCTCCAAATGGGCTGTAGCACTCAGGGAAGTTCTGTGAAGGTAGCTAAGTTTTGAGGAACTGGGTATGTTTTTGACATGTCAGTAAGGTATGCATAGGCAGAGTGGAGGAGCCTTCCTCTATAAGCAATGTAGGCAATGAGCCTGGCGAGTCTGGGAGTCGTGAGAAGATGACCCACAGGACGTCACTGAAGAGCACAGGTTAGTGGGTCTCGGGAGGCAGAGGTGGAGATATAAAATGGGACCAGATCATAGATGACCTGCAAGGTTAGACAAGTTAAGATTTTATGTGATAGACAGTAGAGGGCTTTTGCAAGCTGTTTTATTCCAGGCAAGCCAAGTTGCAAACCACTGCTTAAGAAGATTGGGCAGCAGTGTGCAATGGGGAAAGATAGTGGAAGTTCCAATTAGGAGGTTAGGGCTGTCATTCATGGGTAAGATGAAAAGGACCAAGATAGTGGCAATGGGATATTAGTAATAGTAACAAAATCAGGAGTAACTGTCACAATAACAATAGGATATTTATATAGTTGCTTGGGTAATTACTGAAAAATTAGACCAAAAAAGGGTTCACATTATGAAAGCCTTGGAATTCTTGAAATAATAGCCATTCACAGTGGAAGGTAGAACCCAGTGTAGTGGATAAAAGCCTGGTTTTAATCCCTGGAATGATATATTGACATCCTAAGGGACAAATTAGTAGACTCCCAGTTTGACTACCTACTTAGAAAGCTTCAGCCTTTACCAGTTACTATAGTGTTTCCATATGTAGCCAAGAAATGGGTTTTATCTTTCAGGCTGATACTTTCTTGTTTCATTCTTTAATCAATGTGGATGTCATTGTTAGACTGTTTTATTTATCACCATAGTCACTAACCAGGATCTGCTGAATGGATTATAAATTTTGCCCATAATAACATTGATTTTTAGTAAACTTTTTATATTGGAATTAGTGATGACTAGTATTTATTTTTTTGGCAATAAAAATATTTGTTTCCACCAAGGATTTAAATAAGTTCATGATTGGTGGAGCACTCAGATACATTATATGTAGGTTTAAGAAGAATTTGTAGTAAGACGATAAATCTTCTTTGAGTCAAGATGATGCTGCATAAAACTAACTGTATTGATTGTTCCTTAATGATGCTTCATGCTGCCAAAGTCATTTGAGCTGGATCTGAATTGGATCCAGTTGGCAAAACTCACCCCCATGTGTGGAGCTCTCATAAATTCTGCAGGCACACAGATCTAATACAGTGTAATGAGAGAGCTGCTGGGAGAAAAAATTGATTACAGGGTTGCAGACAATATCATTAACATTTCTTGCCATGGTACACCAGATGTCTTCCCTAATAGACGATTTTTGTTAATTTAGTTTTTATAGGATAGCATTGATTGCATCATAATTTAACTTTTTTGCATATTCAGGTATATGTGATATGTGTTTCTATGGTATTGAGGGAACAAACTCATCAGATTTAATTTCATAAATTCTGTTCATTTTTGTATTTGTGCTGGAGAAACAACATTTTTACTTATTACTGAGAATCTGTTAACTTGGATGTTTACCGTGTTCACTGGTGGTGGGAGGCGTGGGTGGTTGGGAGTAGTGGGGATGGTAAGAAAGCAAAGATAATGTTGCCCAGATCCTCCCTAGACTGGTCAGAGAGGATTCCACCCCTAGATGATTTAGGTAGAAGCTGCATGGCAGCATGAGGGAATCTCTAGCCGAAGTAGAAAAGCTGCAACTTTTCAAGGGGACTTAAAATGCACATTTATTTCCATTGTTATGGATGCGGCTGTGCAGGCCAGGGTTCTTGTTGGCTGCACCATCATCTTCCTCACTAGGAGATCAGGGGCTAGCTAGTAAGGGTTCCTAGTTATTTAGTGTTTTTACTCTTTTAGCCATATCTTTTTGTTTGTTTGACCTCTGTTCAGTGGCCAACACACATAATTAAGGCAGTATTATAATAGTGGTTTGAGCTATTTTATTTCAGTTATCATTATTTTTTTACTGTATTTTTGTTTTTGGTACATTTTCCTTTAGGGAACTTTTTTACTCTTGATATGTTTCTTTGTAACACAGGACACGTTAATTAACCTTTTTAACCCTTAGTTTTACCACTTATGGATATAATGCTACTATGTACATCAGATGGTTGTTGTGAAAATTAAATAATTCATTAAATTCCTTAGCATAGTACTTAGCATATAACAAGCATACATTAAGCATTATCTATTGTCACATAACACTTTTGATCTGTACAAATTCTGGTTTTAACTTAATTAGTTTTCTAGACATTCTTAATCTGAGGGCCATATGCCTCTGGTTGGTCTCTTTGAGTTTAAAAGGGTCTGTGAACTTCCTGAAATTGCTTGCAAAGTCTTATATGTATGTGCATTTTTCTGGAAAGAGGATCTGTACTTTTGACTATGGATGCTTATCAGTAGATTCCTAAGGTAATGAAAATAATTTTAAAATTAAGATTAAAAACTGCTGCTCTGGAAAGGTTCTGCAGTGGGTCATTTAAAACCTCATATCAGCTTGCTGTTTGTTAAGGAAATAAACTAACATTGAGCATTTACTTTGTACCAGGGCACTGCTTCCCTTTGCACATGGTGTAACGTATTTACTCTCCACACAGTCTGTGATGTTTATTTCATTTGCCAGACAAGAAAACTTTAGGTTCACATTTGCATAAAATTCTTGCCTTTAGTGAGTGACAGGACTGAGGCTTACATCTGGGGAACTCCCCCTAACCTGGATCCTCTTCCTTGTCCTCTTGGTTGACTGCTGTGATTCCTGGGCCATCCCTGCCGTGATGCCCACCTTGGCTGCCACTTCACTAGAGAGTTTGAGCTAACATGCGGTTCATTCACTTGGAAGAGTAGATGGCTTCTGCCACTGAGAGTTACACAGGCTGGCCCTTATGCTGAATAAATGGATAGTGGTATTAGTAGTGTGGTGTGAAAACCCTTTTTAAGTGTCAGCAAATTTTGTTTTCCTGTTAGCAATGGTGGTGGTTATATCTTTAGTGTCCTTTTGTTTTAAAAATGCATAACCCACGGCTACCATGTCTTCCCTTTTCATTCATCTTAATAGCATCTATATATATTTGAAAAATATTTTGTAAATATTTGCTCTTTTGATGATGGGGGAGGGATTCAGGTAAAACTTTGGATTTATTAATTTGGGCTTTGCATATTTCTTGGAGTAAATCCACTCCACCCATCTAGACAATCCTCCTTCAGTTATGGGGTAGGAAGCTGGTGCACACTGGCAGGGATTCACTTTACGCAAGTCCATGTTTAGTAGGGGACTGTTTAGGCCTGAAGCCTCATCTCGTGTATGTTAGGTTGGTGTCTTTGCACTGCCCCATGCAACCTTCCTTGACCCATAAGATATATTCTTAAAGTTGTTCCTGCAGCACACCGTTTACTTCAAGGGCCCCAAATGCTTCGCTTAATATCTAGTTTAAGTGATTGTGACTACATGTCAAATCAGTGTTAAAACAGTATAATGTTTTGCACAAGTAAGGCATTTATTGTTAGTTAAGTATCATTTTTAACACTAGTACTTTTCATACTTGAGACTTTGGTATCATTTAATAATTAAAAATGAAAATGTGTTATGAAATGCCATTTTAGAAGTGAAGCTGATTGTATTTATCTACTTGTTGCTTAGGGAGAACTCTAATCTGGTTTCTTGTTTAGCCTTGCAGGAGTTTTTGAGGCTGTGTTGCTTTTACTTACTTACTGTGGCTTTCCCACTTGATATTAAGTATGCCAAAAATAACCATTTAGAAAGATCATGAGAGATTCTACCTTTTATATTTGACTATAGTAAAAGGTATTAAAATGGCTGGAGTTTTAGAAGAATTGCTAATACAAATGCTGGGATTAATCCAGCTAACCTAAATGAAGGGTGATTACTAGCTGTTGAATTTTAATGTAAAAAATTGTAAAAGTTCTTAAAACACTTGACTGACCTGTAATGCAAAGGCCAACTGAGATCAGTGTCAGAGA